TCTTGCATTTAGCCTCTCCTAAGGACGGGGCCATGGGACGCGGGTGGCATTGTGGGTTAAACCACAGAGCCTAGGACTTACCGATCAGAAGGTCGGCAGTTCGAATCCCTGCGATGGGGTGAGCTCCCGTTGCTTGGTCCCTGCTCCTGCCAACCTAGCAGTTCGAAAGCATGTCAAAGTGCAAGTAGATAAATAGGTACCGCTCCGGTGGGAAGGTAAACGGCGTTTCCGTGCACTGCTCTGGTTCTCCAGAAGCGGCTTAGTCATGCTGGCCACATGACCCGGAAACTGTACACCAGCTCCCTTGGTCAATAAAGCGAGATGAGCGCCGCAACCCCAGAGTCGGCCACGACTGGACCTAGTGGTCAGGGGTTCCTTTACCTTTAAGGACAGGGCCAGCGCCAACATCTGGAACCCTTGGGACAGCTGCTGAGATGCCCACAGAGAACAACACTGTCAATAACCTTGGTTTCTCATACCAGGCAGCTCAATCTGCAAGTAGCCTGCTGCAGATTACACCACTGCTATTGCTGCCCATCCCTCAGCAGGTAAGCCTGCCTGGGAGACCCAGAGATGTAGGAGAGAGTAAACCAAAGGACACTTTGCTGGGGAGAGACCTCACACCCTGCCTGAGGAATTCCATGTGTCCAGGATTCCTTTATTTTTTTACTTTTTCCTTTGAACAGCGGAACTGCCCCTTCCCTGCCTACTCCTATATACCTACCTGGACCTCAAGGTCATCTTCTGTGGACCTTCTCCAGATGCCTCTGCTGGATGAGGCCCAGCAGGTGGCTATCAGAGATACTAGGTCTGGATCCAACCCATGGTGCTGCCTGCTTCATTTTGAGGTCATCATTGCTTTTTTCCAGCCTCCTGAATCAAAACATTAGAATTATTCCTCCTCTTCCTTCTTGACCCGAAATGCTCTTAAACACATGCCACAGTGGAAAAAATGCTGCACAGTTGCTATTTTTAAAGAAAGTGGAAGATTTTGAGATGTTTTCCCCACACCACTCATAGTTTGATCAGTGTGGGGGTACAGCACTTATTTTCTCCGTGTTTTTTGGTGTTTGTTTCAAGGCTAGAATAAATATTTTTCTTCTTCACAGAGCCATTATCTCAGAGGAACTTTCATTTAGTTGAAATTCTGGAGACATTCGAATCAACAAGTCCCGAGCCCGAGTCCTAAAAGAATGTGTTTCTGAGTGGTTCAGTGTAGAAAGCTATCCACAAGCTGAACCTTAAGAATGGGAGTGAGAAAAGTGAACAGATGAAAAGTGTGTTCCTTCCGCAGCATTACAGAGCCGGTCCTTTAAATCTATGGTAAAAAAATGGGATGCAGGTGGCGCTGTGGTCTAAACCACAGAGCCTAGGGCTTACCAATCAGAAGGTCAGCGGTTCGAATCCCCGCGACGGGGTGAGCTCCTGTTGCTCAGTCCCAGCTCCTGCCAACCTAGCAGTTTGAAAGCACGCCAGTGCAAGTAGATAAATAGGTACCACTCCTGCGGGAAGGTAAATGGCGTTTCTGTGCGCTGCTCTGGTTAGTCATGCTGGCCACATGACCTGGAAGCTGTACGCTGGCTCCCTCGGCCAATAAAGCGAGATGAGCGCCGCAATCCCAGAGTCATCTGCAACTAGACCTAAAGGTCAGGGGTCCCTTTACCTTTACCTTTAAAAAGGACTGAGAGACATGTGGCCCTCCTGATGCCACTGGACCCCAAACACCTAGTGTCCCTGAACATTAACTGGTTGGGCCTGATGCCTACAACCTCTTGAAAGCTACAGGGTCACCAGCCCTGCCTTAAGGTGTCAAGCAATGCAAAATATGCAGCCTTTTTCCAAGATCTTTCTCTCCTACTTTCAAGTGGGAATCTGGGGATTTGCTGTTTGGGTCTGCCACAGACAGAGAAACTAGATAGATTTTCATGCTGTCCTTGCCACTGATCCAGTCTGTGTCTGCCTGCTGTGTCCTCCCAAAGCTCTGTGGATTACACTGTGATATTTAGTGATTATTTCAGACTGAAGTGAGGCCCGTGCTGTGAATTCCTAAGTTTAGGATGTATGCTTTAAATTATTTAGCTGTGTTGTGGGTACTTTTCTTTTATTATCTTTTTTTTAAAAAAAATGAAATGAATTTCATACTTTGTAACCAATGCCATTACTAGAATCCTAACAAACAAGTTAAACAGGGGCGGTTGCCTGGGCACAAAATTCTTAGGGGTGCAAAATTTCAAAAAAAAAAAAAAAAGGAGTAATAGTAAATTGAAAAATAGCACACCCTCTCCCTCACACAGAAAATTTTCCAATGTTTGTGTGGGCAGGCTAAGGAGCAGATTTGGGCAGCAGCTGGGTGCTAGGGCACTCTTTGTGCGGGCTTTAGAAAGATATACACTCCCAACCAATACCCCATCCTGCTCTCCACTGTGCTTGACGCTCATGGGGTACGTTGGCTGCCACTGGGGTATTGCCCCTTCATTCCAGCCTATCAGCGGACAGTGCCATAGATACTTGCCTTGCCCCAGCTGCCGGCAACCCATGCTACACCACTATATTTGTTTGCATGGTGGCTTGGCTCTCCCGCTGATTGAGATTTCCCAAAGTACCAGTGCAGGAGACACCCAGACAAGTTAATGGAAGCGGAATGCAACCGACATTGAAACTGACCTCGCTTAGTTAATGGCATTGTAAAGTTAGCTGACTCGCTTAGTTAATGGCATTGTAAAGTTAGCTGACTTTTTATATATCTTAAAAAAAAAAAAAGTATTAGCGAAAGCCGTCAGAATTTGTGCGAAAGGCACCAGTCCTCACACAAGGCAGATGCTTGAGCTTGACTGCGGGAGATTTCTCCCTTATACCTCCTTACCAGTGCATATCCCACCTCTCTGATCAAAGGCTGCTCAAAATGTTTTGGGATGGGGGTCCAAACCCCCCACCCCCACATTCTACTGTGTGACATTCTATTTGGACGGTGTCAATGGCAGATCTTGAGTTCTCGAATTTCAGTGGTACTCTGTGCGATGCCAAAATTCAGCACCCCTCTGCCTCCCTCACTCCATTTCAAAGCATAGTTGCAGCATCCTCAGGGGTGTCCCCCCCCCGAGACTCTACCCCCAGCGTGACTGATCCAGCCGTGCTCCCCTAAATCTGCCTCTGGTCACGTTATGCTTGAGAACAGGGCCCCATTATGAAACAGACTTCGTCTCATTAGTTTTGCATGGCCAAAGTCAACATCCTGCATCCTCCAACTTTTCTAGCAATCACTGTCTCTTGGGGTGGGAAACATATATAAAATGTAAGGAGAAATCCCAGCAGGTTTTCTCACCTGCAGCGCGAGCCTGATTTCCTCCTGGCTTCCAATCTGTGGGGCAGCCACATAGCCTAGCAAGTCAAATAATTGATTAGCTGTCAATCTTCCCCACACACTCTATTTTAGCTGGGCTGCCTGCTTTATTTTTTTGGCACCCTGTGATGTGCATTTATACGTTTCTCTCTCTTCCTTTTTTTAAAAAAAGTGGAAACATTTTTGAACAGTTGCAAAACTTCTTGCAGGGGTCAGCAAACTTTTTCAGCAGGGGGCCGGTCCACTGTCCCTCAGACCTTGTGGGGGGCTGGAGTATATTTTGAAGGAGGGGGGAATAAACGAATTCCTATGCCCCACAAATAACCCAGAGATGCATTTTAAATAAAAGCACACATTCTACTCAAGTAAAAACACACTGATTCCCGGACCATCTGCGGGCCGGATTTAGAAGGCAATTGGGCCGGATCCGGCCCCCGGGCCTTAGTTTGCCTACCAATGAACTGGGGGGACGGACTATGTGCACTGTCCACTTTTTTGCCTTTTTTGCAAAATTACAGAACTGTTCACACACACACTGCCACCTTCCACTTGGAGATTAAACAAAATTACGTATGTCTGGATGTAATATGGTTTTCTTATTCTTAGATTAGTCCCGCTGCTCTAGATGTGGCACTAAATTTAAACTGCAAGTAATTTTATCATGAGGATTTTCACCTTTGAGCCTCATTCCCATTATTTATGTTAATGGCTGATTCTTTTTTCCTGTGAAAGAGGAAATGAGCATGCTGGCCAAGGAAGGTTTTACATGATTACAAACTCAGTGAAGGCAATGCCTCCTGAATTCTGTAACAATCAACGCCTGACACACTCCCCATTTAGCTAGCACCACTCTCTGCCAACTCAAGGAATGGAGTACAAACAGAATTTGAACAGGACATTAATGTGCCCACACACCAGTGTTCAGGTGCACTAACAGTGCTTCAACCCTGTGTGTTTAAAATCATTCAAAACAGTCAAGAGCTGTTTACTAATTGCCTAATGAAACCCAAGAATGTCCGTTTCTTGACGGTGCTGTAAAGTCTCTGTTGGCAATTCTCAGAACTCAGTGCCCAGAATTCGCTTGTTGCGAGACTTGGTAGTCAAATCCTCATTTGGGGATCAATGGCTAGTGTGAACTGGCCCTCAGTCCCACCAGACACATTGCTTATGACCTTTGGCCACCCTGACTCTCTTGAACAATTCAGCATGGCCAATACAAGGGGCACAAACAGGTAACATCATAACCCTGTTTAGGACATTAACCAGGCGAAGAGGCACACAAGATTAATGGGGGAAAGGTGTGCCAGGGTGCCTGCTTGTGCAAGATTCAAACGCTTATGCATTTTTCTTCGTGTGGGCGGAAATTGTTTCAGTTGGCTGGCATTGCTTAGAAGCAATGCAGAATTTAAAACAGAGGTTATTTTTTTTAACAAAACCTCTCAAAAAGGGGGGGACAAGTATGACAGCGGAAAACCCACTTATTTTGTTGTTTTTCATATAAAAAGAACACCTAGGGGCAGAGTCAACAAAAGAGGGTGTGGGGATTTAGGGGTGCGAAGGATCTGCTCCCTCGGATAGTGTCGAATGCCAGCTGCACTGAGCCTCAAAGAGTGAGTGTCTCTAGTGCTTTTGTCTCCTTATATGGTAAAATGATACACAGGGGTTTTTCACTAGGCTGTGAAGGCAGACGCCTGTTTCCACACAACACAGACGGCTGAGCAGAAATCAGAAGAGCCGCTTGCTCAGAACTGGAGGGATCCCCGGCTAGCTGTACATCTCCTCTCCTCTCCTCTGCCAGCAGGTCACTGTGTTGCCCATTTATTAATGGATGTGACTCCCCATCCCAACTCCAGAGGGTACCATTAACTGCCTGCCTGTAAGTAGACGTCCCTTTTTGTCCCTCTCTGCAACAGCCAACAATAAACCTTTGGAGCATCTGCTATAAATAACAAAGGGTGTGATGGGGAGATCAGGGTGTGATGTTGAGGCAGAACAATGGTTTGCCCAAGATGCAGCAACAGCCCTAGCTGTCTGTGTTATATACGGTGACAGGGCTGGCCCTTTGTTTTTTAGCAAATATGGGCTATAGAAAGAGGTCGGGTAAGAATAATGGTGTTGTCTTCAGGGGGAATGTTCGGTGTCTGAATGTGACATGTGAGCAGGGAGGGATGGCATTGTGTCAGATCCCATCGCGACAATTTTCACTCCCCAATGACATGCTGGATAAGCCCCGGGGAAGCTCATAAATGAGAGTTCAGATATTGGTTTCTTTTACACCTCTGTGAACACTTCCTGCTTCCCAAAGCAACAAAAGACCTCATTAATTCTTTCCAGTAGCAGAATCAGAGGAAACAAAGGTAGCCTTGCCTCTTTGCTGTCTCTCTCTCTCTCACGCACGAACACAAAATAACTAAAAGACAGGGAGTCCTCTAAAGTGCATTGCTATTGTTTCAAGATATTTAAATGGAAGGTACATGGTTCTTTTCTTCCTTTCATTCGGTTATTTAATGTTTAATCCCCGCCATGCTTCTTCTATGTTTGTAACTGAGAAAATGCATGTGAGTCGACAGCAGCAACTTTTGTATCTTGTCATTTTTATTCAATTATAAATATTTATGTCCCCTCTTTCTGACTTAGCAGGCTTCCAAGGTGGCTTTGTGTATATTTCTGTATTAATGGGTCGCTTCCTCCCTTCCTATTTCCCACCGTAATAACTTTACCCTTGATTCAAAACATCTTGGGTTACTGCACATGCCAGATGAAACAATTTCTGGAGGTTATTAAAACAAACTGATGATTTACTCTAGATTGAACAGTTGCCATATGAATAGTGTATTATAATTGCATGCGAGTCACGCATGAAATGCAATTTTTAAAAGATGAATTCAGGAGAACCAAGAAAAGAGAGAGAGAGAGAGAGAGAGAGAGAGAGAGTTAAAGTCCCATTTAACTCAATAAGAATAAATTGCCAAGGCATTTTAGTTCCATTGATATCAGTGATATGGACTCAAAACTAACTGGCTTTGTTGTTGTTGGCATCTGTCAGTCTCAAGAGACAATGACTCCATGGATCAAGTCAAACCGCTGTGTTAGCAGTACCAAAGTGACCTCCATGGGGTGCAAGCCTGGGCAGTGTGTATAGAGATTCAGGGCTGCCCAGTCGACACACTTGCTTCTCGGCCTCACTGATGTGGTTCAAAGAAAAGCAGAGCAATGCGTTTGGAACCAGCTTGGCTGCAGGAGTTGCCAGAAGGCCGCGTACAAGGCGCCATCCCACAATATTAGGGACTCCACTCTGGATTTACGCCAGTGTGGTGTAGTATTTAGAGCAGTGGATTCGTAATCTGGTGAACCAGGTTCTATTCCCCACTCCTCCACATGCAGCTGCTGGGTGACCTTGGGCTAGTCACACTTCTCTGAAGTCTCTCAGCCCCACTCACCTCACAGAGTGTTTGTTGTGGGGGAGGAAGGGAAAAGGAGATTGTTAGCTGCTTTGAGACTTCTTCTTCTTTACTCCTTAGCCTTTTCTTCTCCTGAAGATATCCCACAAGGCAACAGAGGTTTAGGATCAGCTTTCCTTCTCCTAGATGGGCTACCTTCTCAGGTTAATGAGCCCCATCTGCCCCTCACTTCCCTCTACAATATGTGCAGAAACCGCCTTCTTAACTGCTGGACCCACCATCGGTTCCATCCATTCAATTTGCCAGAGCCTGTTTTTGCATGCAGAGGTATTCCCTAAGAAACTGAGGGTTTAAGACCCATCGACTACTCCCACCTGGTTTAGCCGGTCATAGCCGTTCCCAGGTTGTGACCGCTGTCACATGCTGACAGCTTCTAGGAGCTACAGGTAATTGCAGGGTAGAGACCAAAGGTGAACCACCCTTTCCTTAACACCCCATACACTCTGGAACAAACGACATAGGATGATTTCTCCCACATTATTTGTTTATATCTCCTGCCAATTACCCGCTACTTACTACATTAAAAAGGAGGTTTCCCCTTAAGCAAAATGTAATGTAATATAATAAATGAACAGAGGATATGCTTTCAAAAATGGTGTGTACAGAGTGTCTGTTTTGTTGTTTAGGGTGTCTTACTTCAAGACTGGGAAGGTTAGAAGCTATACATACTAATAAGGCCTTCAAGTTCCTGTGTGGAAGCAATCCAATGTTGCATTCAGCCTTGGGACTTTTGGTTCACCTGCACTTTTAAGCCACCTATTGTAGAACCCAGGAAAAAGAAAAGTTAGGGCAAAATGGACAACCACAGCCTTGAAAAAGCATATAAACTATGCAAGCGCTTCATTCATCTGATCAAAGCTGGGGTTCAGGAGTCACTATTGAAAAGGCTGGAGTATACGCACATTCTGAACATGGCCATGATGAAATGGCCCAATGTGGTCTGACACATACTCAAGGCTAAACAAACTATGGTTGACTTACAGAACCACCCACATGTCTCAAAAGTTCTTGGAGACAGCAGAATAGGGTGTAGCAATTTTCAAAATGGGCTGCCTGTGTGTTCCTGCCATGCATAGCTGACAGGTCCTTTCCTCCTGAAAGTGTGTGGATAGGCATTTCTCAAATGCCTCTCTAAACAGCTATGGCAGTGATGGGGAACCTGAGGCTATTTTGGGGCTACTGCTCTCATCAGCTGCAGTCTGCAAAAATCAATGGTCAAGGATTTATGGGAGCTAGAATCCCACATCCGGAGGGCATAGGTTCCCACAGCATTTTCTGCCTGGTCCTTCTCCCCTTTGCATAACACAATTCCCTTTTTCTCCATCTGGGTTTTTCTCTTTAAGCCTCACCTGAATGAGATTCCCTCCCACCTTTTTAAAGACTTGTATTCCTTTCATCCATCCTTAGATTCTCAGTCCTGTCTCACTCCTGGCCAACAGTCATATCTGTTCCTCCCAATGACTGCCTTTTGTGACTCCACAGTACATGCTAGAACATCTCCTTTGTAACCTTGTGTGAGGGAGGTAACCTTGTGTCACCTTCCCACTGACGTTCCTTTTCTGACCCACCAATTTTTTTACAATCAGGTCAACTGCAAGGGGGAACGCCAAAGCAAGCATGAGCAATTGGCCTTGCTTGTCCTTCTCCCTCACACAAGGTTACCTCAAGGAATATCCGCACCTGAATCAACCTCTCTGTGTCTTAAGATCCACTTCAGAGGCCCTGTTTAAGTGCCTAGGCAACTAGGATGACAGGTAAATGAAACAGGGCCTTCTTGGTGGCCCCACAGTTATTGAACTCTATTCCACTTGAACTTAGGCAGGCATCATTCCTTGATTCCTTCAAAGGGGCATTAAAGACCCATGACTCTACTTCTGCTTGTAGTGCCTAGCCTGTGGCTGTGCCTTGGTTTTTTACATGGCTGCGCTGGTTCGTGCTGGTTTCAGCAGTATTTCATACTGCAGAGCATGCTGTGAAATGTATGCTTGCATCTGTTTTTAAAACTGTATTATGGTTTGCTTGCGTGCATTTTCAGTGAACTGGTTTGGGAAGAATTTTCTTTGAAGAGCAGCCTGTATCTTTTGTGTGTGTAAGTAAACAGAACCACACTGTTTTCTTGATGCACTCTAGATCAGCAAGAAGCACCATTAAGTTGGAGAGGGAAGATACCGTATTTTTCCATGTATAAGACAATGCTTTTTGCTAAAAAAAAAAATAGGCAAAAATTGGGTGTCGTCTTATACACGGATAGTGAATGCAGAAGGGGGACGTGCGGTTAATGGCAGCAGCAAGCAGGAGATTGGCAGCAGCAATTGGGCGGGTGATTGGTGGCTGTGGCAAGGCCTGCTGGCGATTGGCTGTGGCTGCAGCAATTGGGCAGGTGACTGGTGGCTGTGGTGAGGAGGGCACGCAATTGGCGGCTGCGGCAAGGTGTGTGATCGGCAGTGGCTGCGGCAAGTGATCAGCAGTGGCGGGCAGGCGGGTGAGTGATTGGCAGAAGTGATCTGCCCACCCCCCCAATTAAATAACTTAATTTCTTAATTTGGGGTTTAAAAAAATAGGGGCCGTCTTATACATGGGGGCGTCTTATACACGGAAAAATATGGCACATGTTTTAAGACAGGGATGTGGAACCTCAGGCCTGGGTACCAAATTAGACCTTCTTGCTTTCCCCAGTCAGCCTTCAGGATTCTCCCAGGCCCAAATCTCAGCCCAGGTTGCAATCTTCACTGGAACAGCTCTGTACCTTCCTCCAGAGCTTTTGCATCCTTGATAAGACCTCTTGCCTGATTGGGTATAGGATGAAGGTACATGCAGATACCTCTGACTTTTGCATGTTTGGCACATAGCTCACAATGCAAACAGCCACATCCATTGCTTTGTCCACCTTTCACCTCTGGTGCCACCCATTTTTGACCTCTCGTCCTACACAACCTTGGTGTGTGGCCCCCGCGTGGTTGCATCCAAGAAAATGTGGCCCTTGAGCTGAAAAGGGTTTCCTATCACTGGTTTAATACAAGCAGCTGTTTCCGGGCCCAGTTCTAAATTCTTTTGAAATCCCTGGATGCTTTGGAACCAGGTTTAAAGTTGCCCCTTATAATGAGAACCACCTGAGCCCCAAAGCACCCTCTAACCTCCCAGGGTCCGTCTTGTGAGAGGGGGGAAGGCAATTCCTTGCATGCAGAAAATTCCTGGTTCAATCCTCAACATCTCTAGCCGAAAGGACGAAAGAGCAAGTGAAAGGCCTCTTTTGAACCCAGGACCTTTGAGAGTCACGGCTAGCCGGAAATGACACTGTGCGGCAAGATAGGCAAACCACCTGAACTTTGGCTGAAGCAGCTTAGTTTCATTGCTCCTAATTAGAGATGGAAATATGATGGATTATGTAGGGTTGGAGTGCTGGGATACTGGCTGT